CCCCAGCCCCATGGAACTGTGAGTCCATTAAACCTCATTTTCTTTATAAATGACTCAGTCTCTGGTATGTCTTTATCAGCAGCGTGAGAATGGACTAATACATCTATCAAGGGAATATTATATAGCCATTAAATATTATTGGAACACTTCATATATCTCAATAGAATTATCTCCTAGAAGTTACTAAGTTTAAAAATCTAAGCTCAGAATTCAAATCTAGTATATGACTATTTTTATAAGAAAAATAATAAAAATATGTGTGTGTGTGTGTGTGTGTGTGTGTGTGTGTGTGTGTATGTGTGTGTGTACTTGGGATGCCACCTAAGACATTACTTGCCTCATGAAAAGGAAATCAAGTGTTTGAGGAACAGTGGCAGGATATTATCTTGTCGAATCTCTTAAATTTTGAACAATGAGGATATACAGGGTATTCTAAAAGTAACTACAAATTAAATTTTAAAATTAAAAATAAATAATTACTTCTGAAAGGAATAACTGGAGATAGAAAGAAATAGACTCTTGTTTTTAATTTTAAAACCCTAGTAGAATTAGACTTTTTAATTCTGTTCATGTATTACACAGGCACACACACACACACACACACACAGAGGCACACAGGCACACACACACTGAACTGTTTGCCCACCACTGTTTGCCTGATTCTTATTCAATTTTCAAGATTCTGGTGAACACAACTTATCTGTGAAACTTATCCTGACCCCAGCTAAGGTCTCTGTAGCATGAGTCAGTTCTCCTATGGTATTCTAGAACACCATGGATCCATCACTATTATAGAATTTTCTTTCACATACTAGCATTTAATTATATGCCTGCCTACTCCACTAGACTGAGTGAAACTCTAGGTCACACAAAAATGATTCCTCTTTGTGTTTTCAGAATTTCAATGCACTCTTTCCATTTCGGTTCTGCCTGTCATTGAATGAACTGCTTTCAGCACTAATAGGGTCAGCCTATTCCCTACTCAAGAGAAACAATCCTGGAACCCATGGAGGTGGTGGGCTGTGCCTGAGAGCAGGTAATAGAGAAACAGGAACCACCTTGCAGATCAGAGAACAGTGCAATAGAGTGAGCGTAAGCTAGGATAGAAGTGATGATAGTTAACATTCTCTCTACCATTCCTCCATCACTTCTTAAGACGCCCGTGGAATAACTTGTTCACAGTTTGGAGACATAACATCAGTGATTATAAAATATATGTTACTAAAAAGGGGGTGGATGAGTGGAGAAAGACAAAGAAGTCCCTAAGGAAAGATCACAGATTTTATGTGTTTGGGGACAAAGATGGAAAAGATACAGTATGATAAGTCTTTCAGGGTCAAAAATGGGGAACCAGGTGAAAAGTTAAGATCATATCCCTGGAAACCATCATTCTCAGCAAACTGACACAAGAGCAGAAAATCAAACACCGTATATTCTCACTCATAGGCGGGTGTTGAACAATGAGAACACATGGACACAGGGAGGGGAGCACTACACACTGGGGTCCGTTGGGGGGAAATGGGGGAGGGGGGAAGAGATAGCATGGGGAGAAATGACAGATACAGGTGAGGGGACGGAAGGCAGCAAACCACACTGCCAAGTGTGTACCTATGCAACAATCTTGCACGTTCATCACATGTACCCCAAAACCTAAAACGCAATAAAAAAAAAGACCTCCAGAAAAGCTATAAAAAAAAAAAAAGATCATATCAGTTGAAACTGATGATCAGAAATACAAGGATTGTCAATGAAAATTCCTTTAATGAAGTCTGAACTAATTCCATCTGCCTTTGAAACAACAATTGTAAGTTATTGTGATGAGTAATCATCCCCTGGTAGAAATTCATGAATTATAACAGTCTGGGGTCTTAACTCATCAATATTCTTTTTCCATTCTACAATCCCCTCTTCATCACTGGTTGCTTTCCCAAGACCTAGGTAACAAGGCTCAGCTTGTTTAATCCTAAAAATAAAACAGATTTCCCTGTTTATGGTATCCATTTCATGCGTTTTTTTTAAAAAAAAAATTAAACCATAACTTACCTTTACTTTCATCACCAAACTTCTCAACAGTGTAGTTAACATACCCACCTCTACCCTTCCTTCTTTAGCCCTTAATCTTCTTGCTCCATGCCCTGCCTCTGTGCTTTGTTTATGGTTTTCCTGCTGCTTAGAATGCCCTTCCCATCTTTTTCTGCCTGATCCAATCCACATGTCCTTTAATTCTCAACTCAAGAAGCACCTCCTTCAAGATACCATCTATAACAAACTCCTTCCTCAACATTTCACAGCTGTGTATTTGACCTCTGCAACCAGACACAGGTGGCTCTGGAGCACAGTGTAGATGTATGTGTTCTGCCATCACATGCATCTTATAATGCTGATACTCTTTCATTTTCCTTTCCCAACACCAGGCTATACACTTGAGATTTGTCACTTGGGATATTTGTCACCATTGTATCGCTAGTGCCTAGCATAGTTTCTAGAACGAACTGGATAGTAAATCAGTGTGTATTAAACTAATGAAAAACAAATAAACTACATCTCAAGCACTGATCTATCTTCTGGTTTGTAGTCATGCATTTATAGCCACCCTGTCTGGGACCCAAGGTTCAGCACACAAACTCTAGAGACAAACTTCTTGGAATTAATCCCAGATCTATCTCTCCCTAGTTTTGTCATCGTGACAACTTAAACCCTATGTGTCTCAGTTTTTTTGCCTACAAAACAAGGATGATGTTAGTACCAACTCAAAGGCCTTTTATGAAGATTATATGAGTTCATTGTTTGAAAAGGTCTTAGAAAAGAAACTAGCAAGTAGTAGTAAGAAGACAGTAAGTACTATAAACGTGCTAAAACATAGTTAAGACCACCTGAAGAGTCCACTGCTAGCTCAAATTTTACATGAACTCTCAAACATACTCCTCCACCTTATTTGCTCATAATAGCTAATGGCAGCTGATATGGGTAAAGTTGAGTCATCACTACCTCCTTCTCAAATTTATATGTTGAATTCCTGACACCCAATACCTTAGAATATGACCTTATTGGGATATAAGGTCTTTACAGAGGTAATCAAATTAAAATGAGGTCATTAGGGAGAACCCTCATCCAAATGACTTATTTCCTTATAGAAGAGAGAAATTTGGATATACAGACATACAGGGAGAGAAGAAAATGTGAATAGACATTGGAAAAAGACAGCCATCTATAAGCCAAGGAGGGAGGCTTAGAACATTTCTTCCCACACAGCCCTCAGAAGAAACCAACCCTGCCAATATCTTGATTTTAGATTTCCAGCCTCCAGAACTGTGAGATGCAAACTTTCTTATGTTTAAGGCTATGGCAGCTCTAGCAAAGGAATATACTAGCATTATTTCTGCTATAATGAACTAACCAAGATAGGTAATTTATAAAAGAAAGCAGTTTAATTTTCTCACAGTTCCACATGGCTGAGGAGGCTTCAGGAAACTTACAGTCATGGTGGAAAAAGAAGCAACACTTTCTTCACAGGGGAAACTGTCACGTTCAAACAATCAGATCCCGTGAGAAGTCCTCACTATCATGAGAGCAGCTTGGGGGAAACCGCCCCCATGATCCACTCAACTGCCACCACCAGGTCACTCCCTCAACAGGTGGGGATTACCATTCAAGATAAGATTCGGGTGGGGGCACAGGGCCAAACCATATCAATACCACGTCTCTTTTGTTAATTCCTAACCCATGACACAAAGTCCAGTTCAAATATGCAGGCTCAGTGACGTTTCCTCTGATCTCCTCTAACAAAATGGCCACAGAAGCTTCAGTCTCATCTACTGCGCTTTTAACATCCTAATTTATATTACAGTCTCTCTGTACTTGCTTTCCATTTTACAGATTTATGATTCTTGAAGGAAAGAACTAACTTCTTTAAAATTGGAAATACTTTATATTATGAAAAAAGTCTAGTAGTTCAATAAGCTTCTCTAAGTCATTTGCTGAACTCAAAAAGTAAAAATGTTACACTTGTTTTTAAGCATAATGAAATTTCATATTAAAATTAAAAAAAGGTATTTCTGACAGTTTTCCACAAGTTTTACCATTCTTAGTAATTTATATTCTGCCTTGAGTTCTTTGATACCAACTATATTGTGAGTGTCAAAGAACTTCTAACTTGTTCCTAATTTGGAAGCTTTATGGCAGTATTTCAGGAGCTAACAGAAGCATAACAGTGAATGAGGCAAAAAAAAGTATTAAATAAATTCCCCCAAATTTAAAATATTTTTAAAACTCCCATGTGAAAGTATATAATGTCACGACCAGTTCTATCCCTATGTAACATTAAAAACTCAAAATGACTGACAATAAACTTTTACAAGGCAGGCATTTTAGAACACAGAGATGTTATACCAATCACTAGAAAGTCTTATGTTTTTACAAGGTTTCAGAGCTTCTAACTAAATGAACAGATACAACTAAAGATTTGAGGATGCATCATCATAAAATGTACAGTGGTCATCACTTTGCAGAGTTTCAGACACTTTTAATTATTTGTCTTGGTACAGAGTTCACAGAGCAGAAACAAATCTATATATATTTTTGTGACAGTAATCATGTTTAGGAAATAACATCCTGATTCAAGTAAATATATTTTTTTCAAAAGTAGAATTTTAACTTACAAAAAATATTACGGTTTAGAGAGCTTTGCACTTGTGAATTTATTCTCGATCTTGCCAGATTTATTCAAGTCAACAGCACTTTTAAACTTCTGTAAGACTTCTTAAAATTGTTCTGTCTATGTGCCTAAATATATACAAATACAAACGTTCTCAGCAATTAACTGGACAGTAAGGGGTAAATGAGATGAGCAAGGAATTCACTATGCTACCTCCAATAGTGTTAATGAGAGTTGTGTAGTTAATTCTCTCCCACTGCTCTTAATTTTCATTTCCTCTGTAAGGTCTATTCCAAAGCTTTTAATTTTTTCACACAACTCTCACCCCAAGACAATTTTCACTTACCTCAGTAATGAAGGATTTGGCTGTGGCAGGATTCATAACAAGGATTGCTCGCCTAAGAGTGTCTCGATAGCGATTCAGTTCTTCTATCCTCATGGTGTCAAAGAGAGTGGTGATCATTTTGTTGATGTTATTTTCTACCTTCTGAAGAGCAACATCCATTCCCTGCTGAGACACTTTGTCCAAGAACTCCTGTATTCCACGGATATCTGGAAACCACAAAAGTCCGTCAAAAATGTGAATGATTATACAGAGGCAAGGCATAAGCTATTTCACCGATATCAGAATAGATTATTGTTCCACATTGTAGACTGCCTAAAATTACCAGTAGAACTGACAGAAATATCAAATACATTTAAGGTTTAGTACATTTTGATGTGTTTACATAAAAAATGTAGGAATGATTATTATTTTTTATTTATTTACTTTTTGAGATGGATTCTTGCTCTGTTGCCCAAGCTGGAGAGCAGTGGCATGATCTCTGCTTGCTGCAACCTTTGCTTCCAGGGTTCAAGTGATTCTTCTGCCTCTGCCTCCCTAACAGCTGAGACTTCAGGAAGTCACTACCATGCCTGGCTAATTTTTGTATTTTTAGTAGAGACAGGGTTTCACCATGTTGGCCAGGATGGTCTCAATCTCTTGACCTCGTAATCCACCCGCCTCGGCCTCCCAAATGCTGGCATTACAGGCATGAGCCACCATGCCCAGCACAGAATTGCTATTTTTAATATAGATTTCTTTCTATCTACAAGGAACCTAAATGATCTCAATGCTAGAAATGTTGGGTCAGGGTACAGGGAGGAGGTTGGAGAGATGCCTCATTTCTCTAGAGTAAAACATGAGAAGAAGGGAAATACATTCTCTATTTTCCTAAGCATTTTAAAGGGTAATATTAACCTCATGAAAGCATGAATATCATTTATGACAGATGAATCTGAATCAAGATTAGGAATGTTCCATAAATTAGGCAACAGTATCACTAAACTTGACTTTTATCAGCTAAATAGAAAGTTTCAAAAGGTTATCTTCAAAGGGCCTCAGGTCACTTAGACAACAAATAAAAGCTGCATTTTAATCTATTTTATGAATATTAGCTCCTTGGCTAAAGTTGGAAAACTTGGTAGGAGACACAAAGTTTGCCTTAGTAAGGAAAAAAATACTTAATGTGAAAAACGTATTTTTTCAAAACATATTCAGCATTTTAGAAAATGTTAAGCAACATTTTTGAATGTATGATGATCAGCCAAATATTTACATACTCATTCCAAAACAAGCAAAGTTCTAAAAATTTACCAAATTAAAGAATCCAGTGTCCATGTCACATTTAAATAAGAAAAGTGAAATTCTGTCTAAAGAGTATATGATTTGTAGTTTGATGTGTATTTAAGTAATGTTAAGTGTCCGAAATATGACAAATATTTCTTCTTAGTATCAGATTGCTTGTTTACGGAAGAAGATATCTGAAGTAAGTATCTGGTACAATATAATCAATATAGATTACATTATAATCCTAATACAGTAGGTTTGCTTTTACTGTACCACAAACTATATTTTTCATTACATATCCAAAGAATAAAATATTTAAAGGGTAAATACTAGAGAAAGATAAGAAGTAAATGGGATTGTAGTGAACTTATAAATTGACTAGATCTCAAAATCCTTAACTGTGTGTGCTTGCCTACATATAAAATTTGCCTCTCAATGGCAATGGTTAATTTACATATTTTTCAGCATCCAAAAAGAAAAAGCAATAAGTAAACCCACAGAACAGGAAAACAAATAACCAAAAATTTGGAAAATAGATTTACTCTTAAACATTTATATTTGTAATGTTACAAATTGACTACAATAACAATCTTGCTTTCTTCTTCGTATTGCTTTCATTTTAAAATAGTCATAAAGATTATATGTTTACTTATGTGATGACTCTCATAATCTGTACAACATATGTGCTATATAAATTCTATCTTATATTCCTTATTATGAACTATATTGTAAACCCAGGATGTTACCATCAAACCAGGTTAAAAAAGAATAAAATCTTCAGCTACAACAGAGAATGAGATAAAAGACCTGGAATAATAAAGGTGCTATATATTCATTCAATATCCACGTCAGAATGCACATAAGGGTATAAGACCATGAAGCACGAATTAATCAAAGCGTTAAATTTGGTGGAATTTGGTTGACACAGGTAGAAGTACAATAGCAAGACTATGTGCATGCTAAATGTTCTTAAACTTTGATGTGAACCAGAATCATTTAGGAAATTTATCAAAAATGCACAAGCTTGGGCCACATCCCAGAAGCAATATACCTTTAGTAAACATGTCAGAGGCCAGGCGCGGTAGCTCACGTCTATAATCCCAGCCCTTTGGAGGCCAAGGTGGGGGGATCACGAGGTCAAGAGATTGAGGCTATCCTGGACAACATGGTGAAACCCCGTCTCTACTAAAAATACAAAAATTAGCTGGGCATGGTTGTACATGCCTGTGGTCCCAGCTACTTGGGAGGCTGAGACAGAATAGCTTGAACCTTGGAGATGGAAGTTGCAGTGCACAGAGATCATGCCACTGCACTCCAGACTGGGCAACAGAACCAACAGAACAAGACTCCATCTCAAAAAAAAAAAAAAAAAAAAAAAAGAGCCGATTATTGATTTCAAATTATAAGTTGCTGTTCTTTGAGTTAAAGTGTATATCTAAATACAAGGCAAATCAAAGTTACACTGAAATAGATCTAGGATACTCACAAAACAGAGAATGACTAGAGAATAAAGCTCAGGGTTACTTATTCTTTATGAAATCTTCTGCTTACAAAAATAAAATACCAGTGCTAGTTTACATCTTCACTGTAAGCAAAAGTCTTTTCTCCAAAAACATTTGTGGAATATTAGACACAATGCTAGAAGCTAGAAGCACACCAATGAATACGCATCCACACATTAAAACAGAAAATAAAAAAGTAAACAAAATAAAAAATACAAAGCACACTAAGCTCGTGGAATAAAGCAATGAGTGCATTGACAGATGATAATAGAGTGAGGAGGAGGATCTATTTTAGTCAGAGGCAGGTCTCTTTGTAAAGCCAGTATTTAAACTCCGAGGTAAAGGATAAGAAGACATTATTCAAAGAGATTAGGAGAAAAGACAACAGCTCAGAAAATTCCCAGTGCAGTAAGGTCTCTGGATGAAAAACCTATAGAAGGCCAGTGTGGTTGCAGCCTAGCTAGTGAGACATGAAGCTAGATGGAGAGAAGAGTCAGGTTATGCAGATCTCTGTGAGACACAGAAAGAAGTTTTAATTTTATTCTAAATACAGCTTTAATCTATTGAAAGTTTTAAGCAGAGGATCTGCCTTAAGTGGATGACTGGATATTTGAGCAGGATGAAAAGCAGTAAGTCTGGAAGTGACGTGTTTGACTGTATGTTTTAAATTGAGGCTGGGTGTGGTTTGTGTCTGTAATCCCAGCACTGTGGGAGACAGAGGCAGGTGGATCACTTGAGGCCAGGAATTCGAGATCAGCTTGACCAACATGGTAAACCTCATCTCTCCTAAAAGTACTAAAAATTACCCAGGCATGGTGGTGCAGTCTTGTAATCCCAGCTACTCAGGAGGTTGAGGCATGAGAATTACTTGAACCTGGGAGGTGGAGGTTGCATTGAGCTTAGATCATGCCACTGCACTCCAACATGGGTGACAGAGTGAGATGCCATCTCAAAAACTAGTTGAATAAAATAAACTGTAAATTAATTCTCCTTAGTTTAAAACTATATAACAATTTTTAGCTTTAATTTTTGATCAGAGTTGTACGTATACTGAAAAATGATATGACAAAAGACCACTATAACCCCTGTGTTTCCTTACACTGGAATTCTGGTTGTCACTTTTTAGATATGTGATTGTGAAATTTCTTGGAAATTTTTCCTCATCTGTAAAATAATTTATTTATTTTTGAGATGCGGTCCTACTCTATTACCCAAATTAGAGTATAGTGGCCTGATCTCAGCTCATCTACCTTCCAGGCTCAAGCGATCCTCCCACATCAGCCTCCTGAGTAGCTGGGACTACAGGTGCACATCTTCATGCCAGGCTAAGTTATTTTTGGTAGAGACAGGGTTTGCCATGTTGGCCAGGCTGGTTTGAACTTCTGAGCTCAGGGGATCCACCTGCCATGGCCTCCCAAAGTACTAGTATTACAGGTGTAACCTACCACTCCCAGCAAAAAATATTATCTTATAGAAATCTTCAAAAATTGAATTAGCAAAAGTGTCTGTGTGTGTTTGCCATATACATACAAAATCTAGTGTAGTGTCTAACGTGGTAGTTCCTTTATTGTTAGTAATAGATCATGACTATTTGTTAAGAGACCACCCTTCTTCCCACCACTAGGCCATATTGCCTAAATTTTAATGATGGCTGGCTACCCAACACCGCAAGCATGAAATATAAGGTAGAATCTTGGAATGCAAGCGTTAAGCATACATAGTTTTAGTTATTTGAGTAAATGACACCAAATACCCACAATATGTGGCAATTGGGAAGTTCAATGAGAGAAGATTCAGAGTCATGCTGTTTATGAGGTGCTCTGTGTAAAAGAGCCATTAAAACAGAGAGTAGGCTGGGCACAGTGGTTCACAGTTGTAATCCCAACATTTTGGGAGGCTGAGTTGAGCACATTGCCTGAGGTCAGGAGTTTGAGAGCAGCTTGGCTAACACTGTGAAACCCCATTTCTATCAAAAATACAAAAAAAAAAAAAAAAAGTTAGTTGGGTATGGTGGTGCACACCTGCATTCCCAGCTACTTGGGAGTCTGAGGCAGGAGAATCACTTCAACCCAGGAGGCAGAGATTGTTTCGAGCCGAGATCATGCCACTGCACTCCAGCCTGGATGACAGAGGGAGATGCCACCTCAAAAGAAAAATTAAATTAAAAAAAAAAAAGAAAAAAGAAAGAGAGAGAGTAGGCCTTTGGTTTTGCTCATCGAACATGAACATCATCACCTGTCACAATCATGCAGCTATATTAGCTCTATGCTGATTAGCTGACAGTCAATGAGATGAGTTCCCTGTGTTTCAGAAATAAAAAAGATATGCTTCCTGACCTCAAAGTGCTTCCAGGTGAGTGTATGTGACTAGGTGCTATTTATGAATAACAAAAAGCTAAAAGAAGTTTCAGTAGTTCCCAGTAATTAATTCTACTTACCAGA